GTTAACTTAGGATTAATATCTTTCAAAAATGAAGGCACACATTTGCAAAACCTTGGATGGACCTACAGGGTATTATGCTAAGTGAAGTAAGTCAGAGAAAGACAAATACCGTATCGTTTCAATTATATGTGGAATCTAAAAAACAAAACAAAGCAGAAATGAACCCATAAATACGACCAACTAGCGGTTGCCAGAGGGGAAGTAAACCATTCATACAGAAAGAAAATGACATCAGATGGAAATATAGAACTATTCAAAAAATAAAGAGCCCTAGAAATTATAAATATGTGGATAAACACAAAAGAGTTATTTTTCTTTGAAATCTCCTTAAAAGAGAACTAACTGCCTAATACAACAGCAATGTATTACGGGGATTATAACATATGTAGAGGGAAACATATAGCAACAAGCGTCTATGTTAGATGCAAGGAAGATTGGGGTGCCTGGGGTGACTCAGTCAGTTAAGTGGCAGACTCTTGATTTCGGCTCAGGTCCTGATCTCACGTTTCATGAGTTCAAGCCCCGCATCGGGCTCTGCACAGAAGACTCCAGAGCCTACTTGGGATTCCTTCTCTCTCCCACTTTCTCTGTTCCTCCCCTACTTGTGTGCGCGCACCCTCTCCACTCTCCCTCTCTCTCTCTCAAAATAAATAAACTTAAAAAAAAAAAAAAAGGAAAAGAAAACAAGGAAGATCTCAGATTTAACTAATTTATCACCTTAAAAACTTGAAAAAGATCTGCCCCTCCCTCACTTGTGCACGCACACGCATGCTCTCTCTCTCAAAATAGATAAGCATTAAAAAACTTGAAAAACACAAATTAAACTAAAACAAAGAAGGAAGGAATAAAAGAATAGAAGAGAAGGAAAAAGTAAAGAACAGAAAGCAATGACATAAAGCTAACAGAGAACCAATGAAACCCAAAACTGGTTCTTTAAGCAGATAAATGAAAAAGAATAGAAAATGCACACATAGGGGTGCCAGGGTGGCACAGCCAGTTAAGTGTCCAACTCTTGATTCCAGCTCAGGTCACGATCTCATGGTTCATGAGTTTTGAGCCTCGCGTCGGGCTCTGCGGTGACAGGGTGGAGACTACTTGGGGTTCTGTCTCTCCCTCTCCCTCTCTGCCTCTCTCTCTCAAAATAAACATTAAAAATAAAAGAAAATGCAGGGGCGCCTGGGTGGCTCAGTCGTCGGGTAAAGTGTCTGACTTCGGCTCAGGTCATGATCTCGTGGTCTGTGGGTTCAAGCCCCACATCAGGCTCTGTGCTGGAAGCTGGGAGCCTGGAGCCTGCTTCGGATTCTGTGTCTCCCTCTCTCTCTGCCCCTCCCCCATTCGTGCTCTGTTTCTCTCTCACTCTCTCAAAAATAAACATTAAAAAAAAATTTTTGTTAATAAAGTTAAATAAAATTAAATAAATAAAAAAATAAAATAAAACGCACAAATAGACATACATGTCAAGGGCTCCAACCAATTACAGTGTTTTCAATATAGTGTTGATTAAATAGAAAATCCACATGGAAAAAAAAAACCGGTCCTTATTACTACCTCACATCATGTACAAAACATACAAAAATAAATTTCACAAAGATTGATTGCCAGTAAAATAATAAAGCTTCCAGAAGATATGTAGCTTTATGACAGGGGGATAAGCAATGATTGTTTAAAAGAGTCACAAATACACTAACCATAAAGAAAAGACTAATAACTTGTCCTCATTAAAATTAAGAATGGTTTTCTATCAAACATACCATTAGAAATATGAAAAGGTTAGCAGTTACTAGGTAATTACTGTTCCTTAAAAATATATTTAACATACCGACTTATTTCTGCTACTGAGACCTCAGGAAGAGCCTGAGAACTGTTTTAGCACATGCGTCTACAGTCAGACTAAGTAACCAAGAAATCTTTTACAAAACAAAACCAGGGCACCTTGACCAACACAGCGGGTACAGCATGTGACTCTTGATCTCCGGTTATGAATTCAAGGCCCACACTGGACGTAGAGTTTACTTAAGAAAATGAAACAGGGGCGCCTGGGTGGCTCAGTCAGTTAAGTGTCCAACTCTTGATTCCCGCTCAGGTCATGATCTCATGGTTCGTGGGGTCAAACTTCGCATCAGGCTCTGCACTGAACAGTGCGGAGCCTGTTTGAGATTCTCTCCTTCTCCCTCTGTCTCTGTTCCTCCCTGATTCTGTTCTCTCTCTCTCTCTCTCAAAATAAATAAAACTTCAAAAATAAAGTCTTTAAAAAGAACAAAACAAAACAAGGCCAAACTTTTCCCTAAAATTTCTTCAAGTATAATCCTAGTTTAGCAAGAAAACTCATGAAAAGGTTCTGGGAGGGGAGGGGTTTGTGGAGAATGGTGATCAGAACACTATCGGTTTTTCTTCCAAAATTCCAAAAACTCAATGAACTCACTGAACAATCTTAAATGGTAAAACCTTTTGAGTAATTTTAAATGGCAAAACTTCTTGAGGATACAATGGACAGGCTAGGTAGGGTAGGGCCAATTTTCTACAGCGGTCCATTTTCTACTAGACTTAACCACAAGGTACAATAAATGACAAGTAGCTGCAAGACGAAACTGAAATAAAGTTGTTCTACGGGTAGTTTAAATACAGGACAAAGGTCCCCACGAGAGGGCACAGTGGCAGATACAGACGGTGGAGATACAGACAACGAAAGCATGGCAAAGCAGGCCAATCCAAGTTTCACCCAAGGGAGACCATATGGTGTGCCCATTCCCAGATCACAAGACTTTGACGAGAATATGCTGAGTGAGCGAGTGAATGAATGAATGCATGGATGAAGGGAAAAGATTAAAGTGCCTGCTGGACAAGAAGTGAGGATGGCTACTTATAAAAAGAAGGCAAATATCCCGAAGGAAAAGGAGAACCAGGAAAAGAGTATTGTGGTAAGTCAGAGAGCAAGCCAGCTAGCAAAAGTGACCAAGAAAGTAAAATGCTACAGAGATGAAGAAAAACTCGATGGTCTCAAGTCTGAAACAACAGAAATATTCCAAAAACTCTGTTAAGAACTGAGGGCAGAAACAGGGGCACTCGGGTGCTTCAGCTGGTTAAGCGACTGACTCTTGGTTTCAGCTCAGGTTACGATCTCATGGTTTGAGTTCCAGCCCTCCACACTGACAGTGAGAGCCTGCTTGGGATTCTCTCTCTCCCTCTCTCTTTGCCCCTGCCCTGTTCGCACATGCTCTCAGTCTCTCAACAAAAAAAAAAAAAGAAAGAAAGAAAGAATAGAAGGCAGCAACAATATACATTGCTCCTAATCAAGAGCAAATATGCCTAATATTGATGTTCAGGTCATCCTGAGAATTCCAACAGGAATCTTAACTACCATTAATCAATCATTGCCCATGTATAGGGCATTGTGCTAAGCATGGACTTATGTTCCCTCATTTATAGCAATTTGGAAAATTAATTCAAAATATCCCAAATCAAGTTAAGCTCATAGGAACATCAACCTTAGGAAGCATGACGGATCGGAGCTGTAATTACAAAGGTGTGAGTTCAACTGTACTCTCTCTAAAAAAAAAAAAAGAATTCACTAATGGTAAGCAAGCAGTCTTGAATGACACATAAAATGGAACCTTTGAGCCAGAAAAAAAAGTACAGCATTCTCTGTTACTGTCTGGGAGGTGTGGAGGCGAGGACAACTGGCCATCAAGAAATCCAACTAGTTCTCCTTGCTCTAGTTAGTTCCAGGCCCAAATAAGCTCCTCATGTAGGCCGGCTTCGTCAACATTTGTACTACTTAATGATTATTTCTCAATTTGAACTGGCATTTTGGTTTGTACATTAGTCTCTAACGAATCAGTTCCCTAAGCCTAATTATTTCTGGCTGTACTAACAGATCACATATTAAGCCTATAAACTAAAAAAAAAAAAAAAAAAAACAGACCCTAGAGAATATATGTCCGTACAACAACACTGTGAAATTCTAGGAGTCAGCCGCGGGCAGATAGCTGGCCTCCCCTCTATCTTGCCAAACATCTATTCAAATCACAATACTTAAAAAATAATAACAATTAGCTGAGTCTGAGAGTCATCTTTGGCTCCACAGACAGGGATCTATTTCAGTATGGTTAACTGTACCAAGTGAATCCCTAAGGCAGTCCCCTGAAACAGAACAAGCTTTCTCACTATCAAAGAAGGGGCTGTGTGTTAATCAACCTACAGCTTTCTCATAAAGCAGATACCAAGAACCTCTAAAGAGATTATCTTTAAAAACATTTCAGCACATTAGAAATACTCAGCGCTTGGGGTGCCTGGGTGGCTCAGTCGGTTAAGCGTCTGACTTCGGCTCAGGTCATGATCTCTGGGTTCATGGGTTCGAGCCCCACATCAGCTCTAAGCAGACAGCTTGGAGCCTAGAGCCTGCTTTGGATTCTCTGTCTCCCTCTCTCTCCCCCCCCCCCCCCCGCGCGCGCGCGCTCTCTCTCTCTCTCTCTCTCTCTCTCTCTCTCTCAAAAATAAAACAAAAAAAAGTTTTAAAAATATTCAGTACTTAAGAAATATCAAAGAATGGATCAATCTTGTGGAAGACAGATGAAGTAAAAACCACTGATTTTTCAGCTAACTACCAGAGCAGAGCCAAAAGATCCAGATACGTCAGACAGTGGGACTCCAAGTAGCCCTGGGACCACAGCCAAGTTCCTCAACCTGTCTGGGCCTTGGTTTCCTCTTCTGTAAAATGAGGAAATGAGACTAGGTAATCTCTAAAGTCCCTTTTCCACTCTAAATTCTATTATAATTGGTTCCTTCAGTGATAAATGGGAAAGGTACAGAAACGAATTTCCCAATTCAACTGAAGCGAAGCTCTCCTGAAACAATATAGTACATTTCTTCCCAAGTAGAATCTATTTCACCTCCATTACAACAAAACTAGATCCAACGAAATAAACAAACATTAGCATATAGAACGAAAAATCGGGCCACAGCAGGGGTAATTAAGGAATGAAAATAAAAGGAAGACTTACGTGTGTCTTTCATATCTGAGGGTTTCTCGGATGGACCATGCCACCTGGTATGGCGAGGCCTGCTCAGAGTCCTCCGGTTCCTCTCCGCTCTCTTCCGACCAGTCCAACCCTGGGACAGAGGAGAGGATATGGCAGGTGAGAATAAATGTATTCTTACTTAAAATTTAGGGAAAAAAAAAAAAAAAAAGCTACCCAAAATGCATAACACAAAAACCTACAGCACCTGCTATCACAGTGTACATAAAATGCCTCCTGATGAGTTTCATCCCTGTCCTGGCAAAAATATTAATAATGAATACATGACATACACTCAGGTTAAAACTATGACGTTATAACAAAAAGCTATATTCCGAAGATGAAATTCTTGTCAGACATTTTACAGACTAGACACAACATAAGCAGGGAGTCAAGTACCCCCCTGCCAAAAAGGTAGAATTTCTGAAGTATCAAAACATTATACGTTAAACATCAAACATTCTGACATACGTAATGTCAGGGAAACCCAAAACATCTTCACAATGGTAGGTAAGGAAGGCTAATGTATGTTCAGGTAAGAAAGAAATCAAAAGGTACTGGTGAAAGCACTCTATACTTCAACAAAGAAGGGCCTTAGAATAAACTGTCAAAGGCAGACACTTCATCCCCTTTCCCAACACCTCCAAAAAAAGGACTCCACTCCCCCCAGGCAGGGCCATTGACTGGCTCGTGCCCTCTGCAGGAAGAGGGAAGGGTAAGATGGCAATAACCTGATGTGGCTTGGAGACCCTTTTAGTTCTTTTACACAAGAGCTGGCACATTTTGTGACATTTTGAAAAACAAGTTTAAAGGGGAAAAATAGAGAAATACAGTATGAACAATCACTTATTTTATTAAATGCTACTGTTTTTAATGATTGGATAATTACTAGCCTCCAACATAGATGTTTTACCTTTACAGAAGGTTTGTATCTTGAAAAGGTCTTAATACTGATGTTACACAGCCTAACATCCATAACTTCAATATACTGATAACGCAATGAGACTTTAATTAGATACCTTGATAAATACTGATGTTGTACAGCCTAACACACATAACTTTAATATACTCATACCTCTATGAGACTTTAGATACTTTCATAACTAGTATGGTCTTCCCTCTTAAACCTCCTAAAATCAAAAGACCATCTTCATTAGACACTTACGTTAAAAAGGACCTCACAGGTTGCTTCTATAATTTAAATGAGTTTATATGTACTAAATAGGGAAATTAAGAAAAGGCTAATCAAAATGCAAATTATAAATGGTTAAAATTAAATAACACACTGCCACTGGCATAAAGAAACCTCAAATCTAGTTCCAAGATGACCATGCAAACTGTCAAGTCACCTTAAAAAGTAAATTACTTTCTCTCTACTAAAATAGTAATTACAAAAAACAAAGTCAGAAACAAGTAATCACAATAGAATTAGCTTCAGGTCAGAATATTAAAAGGCAAAGCCTTTCAAACACAAAGTTACATTTAAGCACTTTCAAAAATTAGGACATGAATTATCTTTTATTGTTTTTATATAATTAACAGCAATTTCTACTAAGTCACCTGTACCTTCTCTGAAAAAGTCAAGATCTCAGTCATAAGTACTAAGATGGAAGTGTTTCTCTTGTGAAATTAACTGTCCAATAAAGCAAACCTTTGATCTTGGCTTCATTATCACTAGTTTTAATGTAACTAACTGAGATAACCAGGCCATACAAAACTGTATTTTTCTTTAAGTATTCTTTGCTGACATGAATGCAGACTGTACTTGGTCACAACAGTGCATTACAATTTCTCTTCTCCAAAGTAACCTTTGTTTTGAAAACCTAGGCCTGTAATATGCTTGAATAAAAAAGACAATACATTTTCTATAAGTTTTCATTCTGTTCAAAATGATAGAGCCTGGGTGGCTCAGTCAGTTAAGCTTAAGTGTCCGACTTTGGTTCAGCTCATGATCTCAGGGTTCGTGGGTTCGACCCCCATGTGGGGCTCTGTGCTGACAGCTTAGAGCTGGGAGCCTGCTTCACATTCTATGTCTTCCCCTCCCTCTCTGCCCCTCCCGTGCTCACACCCTGTCTCTCTCTCAAAAATAAATAAACCTTAAAAAATTTTTTTAATTCAAAATGATAGAAAACCAGCCCTCAACACAACATAGTTTGTTTCAAAAGCTAAAAGAAAAAAATCAGCATCCACAGATAATCCAAAGTATAAATATTTAGAAGAGGACGTAGGTAAATTGTGGAATAAGAGGCAAACATCTGGGAAAAAATAAAGTTAGATCTTTGCCTCAAAACTCATACCTAACAAATTCCAAATAGAGGACTGCAATGTAAATAATAAGACAAGAAAAGGACTAAAAGAAAATATAGGCGAAACATATTACACAGTCTTGGAATGAAGAGAGCCCAAGCAAGTAAAAAACAAAATAAAAACAAAACAAAACAATAAACCTGATTCAAAAGGAAGAAATTCTAAAAAAATAGAACATACAAACGATTTCAACTCCTAAATTCCAAAATCATTATCATAGATATTTAAAAGCAAATAACAAATGGGCAGGAGGAGAGGTTTTGCAACAAATATGATGTATAAAAAGCTGTTACCTAATCAATAAAAAAAGAGAAACACTTCCATAAAAATGAATGAAAAAAACCTGAAAAGGTGAAAAAAGAACAAGACATATAAATGTTCAAAAAGCATATGAACAAATACTCAAAGCTACATTATTAATTCAAAATAGCAGTTCTCACTCCAAGTATGGTCCATAGATCCCCAGGGTTCCCTGAGACCCTCTTAGAGAGTTCCTTAGGTCAACACTACCTTCAAAATAATACTAAGACATTATTTGCTCATTTCACCATGTTGACATTTGCACTGATTGGGGCGGGGGGAGGAGGGAACCATGGTGAACAAACCTGCTGGCACCTCAGCAGGAATCAGAACAAAGGCACCAAACTGTACTAGCAGTCATTATAGGTTTCACACCATGAATTGCAGTGAAATAAAAGCCAAAAACAAGTTTTAAGAGTATCTTTGATAAAGCAATTGTATATTAAAGATTATTGATTTTATTAAATCTCAATTCTTTTTTTTTTTAATGTTTATTTTTGAGAGAGACAGAGACAGAGTGTGAGCGGGGGAGGGACAGAGAGAAAGGGAGACAATCTGGAACAGGCTTCAGGCTCTGAGCAAGCTGTCAGCACAGAGCCCAACGCAGGGCTTGAACTCACAAACCGCGAGATCATGACCTGAGCCAAAGTCGGATGCTTAACCAACTGAGCCACTTAGGCGCCCCTAAATCTCAATTCTTGACCACACGTCTTTCCAACATCTTTGTGACTCAATGGAAAGTCTGCATACCTCCCAAGAAAGTATGGTGGTTGCCTTGAGGAAAACACTTGCTCCACTGTTTTAAGCTGTGACCTCAACTAGCTGCTTTTTTGTCATCCAACACCATTTTTATTCAAAAGAGTGACTGACAAACTACAGTTATTAAGACTTGGGTATCTGGCAGTCATTTTTTTCTAAAATGAATGCAGTGAAACTGTCACTTCAAAGAAAGCAATGAACAGTATTTGCTCCCAACTATGAAATTCACATTTTCACTTGAAAGCTTGTTGTTTTTGTTGTTGTTGTTTTTGGGGTTTTTTTTTTTTGTTTTTTTTTTTTTGGAAAACCTGAAGTCTTCACTAAGTCTATGACAACTTTCTAAAAGATTTTTCTGATGAGGTTGGGTGAGAGTATCAATGAATGTGATTTTTAAATTTTGTATAACGAAATATATCAACATTTGGAACATATGTTTAACTTGGTAAACCGCTATTTTCCAAATGACCAACACATGATGTTACAAAATCATGCATGAGTAAAAAGATCCATGCAAAGTACAAAGTAGATCAATGGATTTTAATGTAACAGTTTGCAAAAATTCCTTGATAATGGCCTCAGATTCCACATTGCAACTAATCTTTAAAAACCCACCACTTGTTGGGGGCGCCTGGGTGGCTCAGTTGGTTAAGCATCTAATCCTTAACTTTTTTTTTTTTTTCCAACGTTTATTTATTTTTGGGACAGAGAGAGACAGAGCATGAACGGGGGAGGGGCAGAGAGAGAGGGAGACACAGAATCGGAAACAGGCTCCAGGCTCTGAGCCATCAGCCCAGAGCCTGACGCGGGGCTCGAACTCACGGACCGCGAGATCGCGACCTGGCTGAAGTCGGACGCTTAACCGACTGCGCCACCCAGGCACCCCTAACCCTTGACTTTAACTCAGGTCATGAGAGCCCTGAGTCGGGCTCTGAGTTGATAGCATGGAGCCTGCTTGGGATTCCCTCTCCCTCTCTGCCCCTCCCCTCCACTTGCTCTCTCTCACTCAAATAGGCATTAAAAAAAAAAAAAAAAAAAAGAAGAAGATACTTCTTCTCAGTGGCTCAGTTGGTTGAGCGTCCAACTTCAGCTCAGGTCAAGATCTCACAGACTGTGAGTTTGAGCCCCACATTAGGTTCACTGTTGTCAGCGCAAAGCCCACTTCAGATCCACCATCCCCCTCTTCTCACGCTCTCTCTCAAAAATAAACATTAAAAGAAAAAAAACTGCAAAACTTAAAAAACAACAGAAAAAAGAAAAAGAAGAAGAAAAGAAACTACCACTTGTGAAATTTTGGTGTAGAATCAAGAATATCCATAATTATTTTTTAAAAACCAGTACAATATTCCTCCCTTTTCCAGCTATGAATGTGTAAGGCCATATTTTTATCTACTAATCAAAACCACGTACTACGACAGATTGAACGCAGAAGTGGACGGGAGAATCTAGCTGTCTTCTAGCAAACCACACATTAAGATTTGCCCAACAATGTAAAATAATGCTGCTCTTATTATATTTCTGTTCTTGGGAAAACATATAGCTATTTTTCACAAAAAGAACATGTTAACATGTAGTGACTTTGTTGTCATCTTTAAATGCATTAGGATTTTTTAAATTTCTGAGTTTTAATTTCTAATTCAGTAAATATCAATAAATTTAACTCATATACACAAAGGCTTTGGAGTGTCCTCAATAATTTTTAAGAGTGAAAAGGGATTAATTCTAAAGCCAAAAAGCTTGAGAAACACTGATCTAAAGTACACAAATTAAAGCAAATTTTGGGGGCACCTGGGTGGCTCGGTCGGTTAAGTGTCCAACTTCGGCTCAGGCCATGATCTCGCTGTTCCTGAGTTTGAGCCCCGCATTGGGCTCTGAATTGAGAGCTCAGAGCCTGAAGCCTGCTTCAGATTCTGTGCCTCTCACTCTCTGCCCCTCCCCTGCTTGTGCTCTGTCTCTCAAAAATAAATATTAAAAAATAATTAATAAAAAAATCAATTTTGTATCAAATTTGGAAAGGCAAAATAACTAATATCTCATACTATAAAGATGTAGAAAAACTATCATTGTCATATACTGCTGAAAGAGGTAATGTGACAAAATAATTCTGAAGAAAATATTTGACAACATGTATCAAAAAGCTTTCTATTTTAAGTTTTATTTATTTATTTTGAGAGAGAAAGCAACATGAATAGGGGAGGGACAGAGACAGAAGGAGAGAAAGAATCCCAAGCAGGCTCTGTGGGGTCAGTGCAGAGGGTGATGCAGGGCTTGACCTCACGACCATGAGATCGTGACCTGAGCTGAAATCAAGAGTCAGACGCTTAACTGACTGAGCTACCCAGGTGCCCCTCACAAAACTTTTTTTTTTTTTTAATTTTTTTTTTTTTTTAACGTTTATTTTTGAGACAGAGAGAGACAGAGCATGAACGGGGGAGGGTCAGAGAGGGAGACACAGAATCCGAAACAGGCTCCAGGCTCTGAGCTGTCAGCACAGAGCCCGACGCGGGGCCCGAACTCACGGACCGCGAGATCGTGACCTGAGCCGAAGTCGGCCGCCCAACCGACTGAGCCACCCAGGCGCCCCTCACAAAACTTTTTAAAAACTGCAAAAGCTTAGAATCACCAATTCTGCTTCTAGGAATCTATTTGAAGGAAAAATTAAAGATGTGATAGTAATAATTTTACTGTGAAACTATGCAGCTACAACACTTTATAATGATACAAACTGCAAACAACCTAAATTAGAAAAAGGATTCAGCTGTGACAAATGACGTTTTGTATGAAAAATTACTCCCTTGGTAGTCCAATATGAAAAAATTTTAAAACAGTTTACAAGGGGCGCCTGGGTGGCGCAGTTGGTTAAGCGTCCGACTTCAGCCAGGTCACGATCTCGCGGTCCGTGAGTTCGAGCCCCACGTCAGGCTCTGGGCTGATGGCTCGGAGCCTGGAGCCTGTTTCCGATTCTGTGTCTCCCTCTCTCTCTGCCCCTCCCCCATTCATGCTCTGTCTCTCTCTGTCCCAAAAATAAATAAATGTTGAAAAAAAAATTTTTTTTAAACAGTTTACAAAACTGTATGTAGAGCAGGAACCCAATTTTATATAACTTAACTATACCAAGGCATTAACAAATCAGTATTAATAAGGTTTGGGTGTTTTAATTTATTATTTTTATCCACACCTTTTCTTTAAGTTTTATTATTTGCTTTAATTACCAAAAGTCATACATGGTTTACTAACAGGTGAAACAATATAAAACTATACTCTAAGAAGAGTTACCTTTCCCGTCTCTGTAAAAACACATCCTGACCAGTTTTATCCCCCCTTGAGAGCCAATGTCAGCAGCCTGGTAGTGTATATTCAGTTACACTTTGCCTATAATCACACCTAAGAGGCAAACATCTATCTATACATATACTTGATCAATAGATGCACTGGTGCCCCCTGTTTATTTTTTTTTTATGGGATAATACCCATACTTCTTGGTTCTTTTCTACTTAATATAACGTAGGCACATCAAGTTAAAAGATACAGATTTCATTCTTTTTAATAGCTATATAATACTTCATAAAGCATATATAAACCATAATTACTCAAGGCCTACTATTGGTTATAAAGGTTGTTTCTGGATTTTTAATACTGCAAGAAACGTTGCAATAAACATCCTTGAACACATATCCTTACATTTTGATATATGTATTTTTTAATCCAAAGATAGAGTCCCAAAAGTGAGTTTGCTGGCTATATATACACACTCTTAATTAATATAAATACTACCACATTACTTATCAGCAATGTATAAGCCTCATCAACAACACTGGATATAGTTTTTGCTAATCTGATAGTAACTACTGTTACTTTAATTTGCATTTCCTCACCTGCTATGGGGATTGGGGTTTTCACTGGTTTACTGACCATTTAATTTACCTTTATTCTTCCTCTATTCCCATCCTTTTCCTATTTTTCTATTCTATTGCTATCATATGCCATGCAAATAATTTTTCCTAAAGTTAGGATCACAGCTAACACCATATTTAAGAATAAATTCCAAATGAATTAAAAGTTTAAATAATCAGGGGTGCCTGGGGTGGCTCAGTTAAGCTTTGGACTCTTGATTTCAGCTCAGGTCATGATCGAGGTTCACCTGCTTAGGATTCTCTCTCTCCCTCTCTCTCTAACCCTCCCCTGCTCGTGCACATGGGCTTTCTCTCTCAAAAGTAAATAAATAAACTTAAAAAAAAGTTTAAATAATCAAAAACAAGCTATCAATAACAAAATATAAAGTATCTGTATGAACTTGGGATCAGAGAGATTTTCTTGAGCAAGAAAATTCAGAAGCAATAAAGACAGACATTTCACTACATTAAAGTTTTAGCTGTATTTTTTTTTCCCACTTTTAAATTATCAACAGATATTGCTTTGGGAATTTTTTTTTAACAAGTTTTTCTTTTTTTTCTAACTGTCGGCAGATATTAACAAGGCTATCGTTATTCCAAAGTCCTATGATAAGACATGTCGAAAACCTCATCAGACACAGGTGCTGAGCTGGCAGAGGCACAGAACTGCCAAACACAACCAACCACCTTTTAACACCGCCGCTACGACCACTAACCAGAAGCTGTGATGGGATTCTACACTTCCCAACTGCGGCTTCCGCATCCTGTCCACCAGGGAGGTTTCCTTTACCAAGGCCTACGTAAACACGGAGCCCCACAGCGGACCCCGGCCCCGGTGCCCTCCACCCCCATCGCACTGGGGTCGGCCGTGGGCACGCGGCCTCGCGGGAAAGGGCACATTTTGTTCCCGTCACGCGGGCACGATCTGGCACAAGAGAGAACTCACCTAGATGGGGGAACAGATCAGTGTCCAGCTGATGTTTCTGGGTGCACAGTCTCACCAGTCTCTGCAGTCGGCTGATGCAGGAGAAGTGTGGAGAGAAGGCTGTGGCTTTCATAAGGACCCGATCAGTGCTGGGCGGGTCCGAGGCGGGCGCCCTGCCGGAGGGCAGGAGGGGCAGCGGCCTCTTGTGAGACGACTGCCTTGCTTGTGCTATAGTGTGTGTGGTGGGGGCCACTCCCTGCAGTGGTAGGCTGGTGTTCGGAGGTGGAGGGGACTTGCAGACGAAACCCTGCGGTGGCGGCGGCGCCGGAGGTTTTAAAGAAGTGGGGGAGGGTGACGGGTGGGGGTGCTGCTGCGGGGGCTGCTGCTGTGAAGGTGCAGGAGGGGGACTAAAGTGCTCTTGTCGAACTTTTAAAATCTCGGTCTCTCTCTGGCGCTGCCGATTCTGGGCCAACTTGCTCTGCAACTTCTTTCTCACAGTTGCCCCTTTCTTTAGGTCATCATCTTCCTCGTTGAAAGCAAACGGGTCTTCCAACTCGGTTTCCAGGTAGTGGAGAGGGACCCTAGCCCCGGGCGGAGAGAGGGACATTCCATCCAGTCCATTGGGCATCTTCAAGGCCAGCGTGGGCACCGTCAGGCTGAAAGCCATGGTATCCATCTGGTGCCTGACCTTTACCTCATCTATAGGATCATTCTTTTTCTTCCTCTCTTTTTTCGGGATAAAGCCAAGTACCTGCAAGTGGCTGTTGCAGTACCTTTAAAAACACACACACAGAAGGGGGAAAGGTTTATGATATACAGAGTAAGAAAAGGAGAATATAGAACAACATGGTATAAATTGTGACTCCTGCCTAATATGTTATAAATTCATGACTATCTTAACTCTTGGCATTCGTGGATTTAATGTAAACAACTGCCGCTACTCTCAAGCAATCCTCCAAGTCTGCCATTTTCCTGAAGCAAATATGTGAACTGTGTATGTGCAGAGGCTGCAGGACAGAAGCAAGTCATTCAAATAGTGAGTGGCCCCGGATAACCATCTGGCTATTGCTTCTCGCTCTGCTTTGTTATTTTATTTTGTATTCATAGCATACAAAGTAACGAGTCTAAAGGATCACCTAAAACTCTCCTGTGCAGAAATATGTATGTATGTATATTTCCAAATATTTGTAGTCACAAAGATCTTATGACATAGCCCCTAATAATGTAGTGTCTACAGTGTATTCTACACACACACACACACACACACACACACACACACACACACACACTAAGAGAGAAAGAAGAGAATACAGAAGAGAAGGAAAAAGTAAATTAAAACTAATTAGTGGGACTACAGATGAAAGGAGTTCCTCAACAGCGAGAGAGAGAAGTACATGTTTCTACCTGCAGGAAATACTAAAATAATGCCCTGTATACAGATGAGGAAGCTAAACCTGATAGAAATCAAATAACTTGCCCCAAACCCCACATCTGGAAAGTGTCAGAGTGGAGACCTGAACAGATTATCAAAGCTCAGAAAGACTCTTAGTAGGTCTTCAACACGAGGCTACTTTTGTAATGTAAATGGTATTTTAAAAATACTAAAAAAGGACAGAATCCTTCTACATAATAAGAAAGTAGAATGCGTGTTGCTCCAATAAACCACACTGAAAACCTATGGAGGCTTTTCGCCACTAGAAAAGCAGTGTTTTCCAAACTGGTATTCCTTAAGCAATTCAGAGTAGGTTAACAAGTATGCTTTAAAGAGTATTCCATGCTTAAATAAATTTGGAAAATACTGGCTTAAACAGAATTAGACAATGATTTTGTTGTTTGTTTCTGATGAACAACTTCTCACAGCATTTTGTATGATAATGTGCATTATGCTTCGAGGTGGAGATGTACCCATCTGACAGTGTTTCCCTAACTTATTCGAAAATGGCATCTATCTTGACTGTAGCCCACCTATGTTATCTCCATCGGACACAGTTTTGGGGGAAAAGGCACTAAAGTAAATAATTAACGTCAGTCCTCAAACTCATTGGGCTGCATCGAGCAAATTTTAATTGTTTTTAACGTTTATTTATTTTTGAGAGAAAGAGTGCACGAGCGAAGGAGGGGCAGAGAGAGAGGCAGACAGGATCCGAAGCAGGCTACGCTATAGTGAAGGGTGTGATTTGGGGCTCGAACCCATGAACGGTGAGATCATGACCTGAGCCGAAGTCAGATGCTTAACTGACTGAGCCACCCAGGTGCCCCTGAAACAAATTTTTAAGTAGTTATTAAAAATACAGATTCACCAAATGATCAAGAGACATGGTTTCGTTGGCTTTATACATAAATCTATCAGAGGCACTTCTCAATTTTAATAGGACTATTAAGAAAGCTTTCTGGACAGTAAAGAGAATCTACACACCTAACAAGTTTGGGCTAGGTCTCACAGATACCTTAACCAGAATAGATTCATAAAGCTGTGGCCAACAAGGAAAAAAGCTTCAGGGATAACCGCATTAACCAAGCTTCCCAATAAAGAATAAATGATTTCTGTTGTCGTTGTCAAGTCATTTTCAAATTAACAAAAGGGTTAGTGAGGAGAATAATATTTTTTTAATTTGGAAATCTAATTTTTCTGCTCATTACACACAGGCAGCCTGAACTGGTAACTGAGCCCGCTATGTGCCGCCACCTCACGTAACATGGCAGAGGCTGATCTGCCTGTACAGTCCTTCCTCGACCTCACCCTCAACTCCTGCTCCAGCCACTCTGTCAGCATCACCACAACACAGAGTCTGAATTTGTAAAAATAGTTCCTCTTCTAAAAGGGAAAAGTTTTCATAGCTAGAATTACAACAGCTTCCTTAGTTATGATCGGTGCTTAAAAGTGTACAAATATGAACAGGGAAGACACTGCTAAGGGGTTCTTTTGAGGGGAGAAAAATGTAAAATTGGACTATGATGATAGTGGTACAACCCTGTAAATATCCTAAAAAATACTGAATTGAACACTTCAAGTGCATGAATTGTATGGGATGTGAATTATATCTTAACTAAGCTGTTTTAGAAAAGAGTAAACATCGGGGCGCCTGGGTGGCTCAAGTCGGTTAAGCGTCCGACTTCGGCTCAGGTCATGATCTCAAGTTTCATGAGTTCAAGCCCCGCGTCGGGCTCTGTGCTGACAGCGCAGAGCCTGGAGCCTGCTTCGGATTCTGTCTCCCCCTCTCTCTGCCCCTCCCCTGCTTGTGCTGTCTCTCAAAAAATGAATAGGGGCGCCTGGGTGGCGCAGTCGGTTAAGCGTCCGACTTCAGCCAGGTCACGATCTCGCAGTCCGTGAGTTCGAGCCCCGCGTCAGGCTCTGGGCTGATGGCTCAGAGCCTGGAGCCTGTTTCCGATTCTGTGTCTCCCTCTCTCTCTGCCCCTCCCCCGTTCATGCTCTGTCTCTCTCTGTCCCAAAAATAAATAAACGTTGAAAAAAAAAATTAAAAAAAAAAAAATGAATAAACGTTAAAAAAAAATAAAAAAAGAAAAAAAGAAAGAAAAGAGTAAACATACAAGAAACAAAAACTTTCTTGGCAAATAGATACTACTAAAATGTATAAAATTATAGCAAACAAATTTAAAATATTATATAAAATAACCAACTTAATATAACCACTTACCTCTGAGACACCAAGGTAACAGTGATAAGCCTTAGCTTCCCAACTTTAAGTATATTAGGAAATTAACTTTACTTTTTAATTATACTAGTACTTCTACTGAACATAACATTATTCTACTTCAAAAAGGTAGAATCCCATAAGTTAGCATTTATAATACATACCAGATAAGTTGGACACCAGATATTGAGAACCTTCCTTTAACTGACTACCAGTCAGATCATTTTATCAACTAAGAGTCCTCGGGGGGGGGGGGGGGGGGCCTCAGGAATTTGTTTTCTAAAATAATACATAAAACCACCTCAAATTCCTAAGTGTCCAAAGAAGAACTGCATTAACAATAATGAAAGCTTTGTTGGGATGAGCACTGGGTGCCCTATGGAAGTGATGAATCACTGGGTTCTACTCCTGAAACCAATACCACACTGTATGTTAACTAACTTGAATTTAAAAACATAAAAAAATTGGGGCGCCTGGGTGGCTCAGTCGGTTGAGCGGCCGACTTCGGCTCGGGTCATGATCTCGCGGTCCGTGAGTTCGAGCCCCGCGTCAGGCTCTGTGCTGACAGCTCGGAGCCTGGGGCCTGTTTCGGATTCTGTGTCTCCCTCTCTCTGACCCTCCCCTGTTCATGCTCTGTCTCTCCCTGTCTCAAAAATAAATAAAACGTTAAAAAAATAAATAAATAAAAATAAAAATAAAAAACTAATGAAAGCTTATTTTCAAAAGAATCTCAATCTTTTCTACACTATATCATATCATAGAGTGTAGTTGTAACTATCAATATTTATATACATGTTTAGACCTTATATGAATTCCACCTGGATTTTTTTTTTTTTTTAAGTTTATTTATTTATTTTGAAAGAGTGAGTGCGCATGAGCTGGAGAGAGGCAGAGAGGGAGACAGAGGATCAGAAGTGGGCTCTGGGCTGACAGGAGAGAGCCCAAGGCGGGGTTCAAACTCCCGAATGAGATCATGACCTCAGCCTAAGTCTGACACTTAACCGACTAAGCCACCCAGGCGCTCCTCAACCTGGATTTGAGGTAATAAGAAAAATATTACCTCCTGCTAGCTAATGTCTACTCTAATCTATTCCAAATGCTACAAATAATAAAAATATTGATCCCATTTGCATTGGTCTGAACCAATTTTGAAAAAATATATGCAATTTTGTAAGTACTTAAGTATGCTT